GTGTATTTGGGGGAGAAAAATATGAACCAGGACTGCTGCAGCAACCCAGGTCAGATAATATGAATGTTGAGAATAAGAGAATTAAAAAAATAAAATGTTTAGAAGATAAAATCTATAAAACTTTTTATTGATTAGAGAGGAGAAAAGGGAGACAGATGAAAGAATACAGAATCCAAAATTTCTTTGCTGATGATACACAGAATACAAAAGTAATATTTTGGTGAATTAAAATTATAATCAGTTCAGTTCTGAATGCATCATTTGGGTATGAGTGGAAATGTCAATGTAAATCCTAGACTTAAAAAGTCAATTTACTTTTTTTATATGAAATTACCTGACATAATTTGTTAACTAATCAATCTATCCCTTTCCCACTGATTTATAATGACACCAAATTCCTATTATGTATGGGTCATTTCCTGATCACTCTGGACAGTGACATTGATATAGCTGTCTAATCCCACACCAATATCACACAGTTTTTCCTACTAAAGTTTTATAAAAGTCTTTTTATCACATAAAATAAATCTCTACCCTATCACCATTACACCTTCTTCTTTCTCTTCAAAATTGTCTTGGCTGTTCCACATGAGAATTTTATTAAGCTTCAAAAAAATTTTGCTAAAATTTTAACTGGAATTATATTCTATAAATCAATTTGAAGAGAATGAATATCTTTATGATACTGGATATTCCCATCCATGAACACAGTATACATCTTCACTTATTTAAGTCTTTCGCTATTGCCTACATCAACCAAGAGCTATGGCTGCTAACCAAAAGGTTGGCAGTTTGGATCCACCAGATGCTCCCTGGAAACCCTATGGGGCAGTTCTACTCTGTTCTATGGGTTGCTCTGAGTCGGAATCAACGCAACAGCAATGGGTTTGGTTTGGTGTTTTAGTTATTGCCTACAACAAAGATATATAATTTTCTCCATAAAAGTCTCCCATATATAATTTTTTAGATTTATCATGAATATCATATAGTTCTTTACTATGTGAGTGGAAATCCCTTCTAAAATGACACTTTCTAACTGGTTATTTCAGGTGTATAGGACTGCTATTAATTTTTGCATATTGACATTATATCCAGTGTAACTTACAGATTTGGGAAAAACTGTGAAAACGGAATATTAATAATAGATAACATCCACTAAACGCTGTGCTCTAGGCACTATGTTAAGCACTTAAATGATTTCATTTAATCCTCAGAAGAACTCTATGATGTAAGTACAATTATTGTCTCATTTTACAAACCAGGACCCTGAGAATTAGAGCAAGAAAAGGAGTAGACCTTCAAGCGAAACCTAAACAACACCAACACTTAAAGAACAGGTAGAGTAAGAAAAACCCTATTAATAGGACATAGATCATAGTCTCCTACATATAAGAGAAATAAAAAAAGTGAGATATTATTGAATTAAAAAACGGTGAGCATTTCAAAAAGAAGAAGGTGTTCAAACCTTTCAAATGTAGCACAGATATACAGTAAGACAAAAAATAAAAAATTTCCTTGGATTTCGCAATTAAGAGGACACTGGTTATCTCTGCCAAAACAGTTTCAGTGGAATGATGAGAACGAAGCAAAGTGAGTGACTGTCTCAGTAGCTGAGGAAGAGAAAACAGTGAGTGTAGTCTACCTTTTGGTAAAATCTTCTCAGCTAACAACCTCATTTCTTTGTTCCCCTTTGCAGCAAAACTCCTCAACAGAATTGTATATATTCACTGTCTCCAATCCCTATCCTCCAATTTTCTTTTAAATCCATTCCAAGCAAGCCTTTGCCAGCACCTCTCCATTGACACTGATCTTGGCAAGTTCACCAATGAGCTCTACATTATAAAATCTAATGATCAATAGTCAATACTCTTTTTACTTAACATATCGGCCTTATTTGACTCCACTGATCATTCTCTACCTTTAAAGTATTTTCTTCTTTTTATACCAGATAGCTTAATATTAAAGAACCACAAGGCTCCCTCTTTGATCTTTTTTCCTTCTCTATCTATACTGTCTCTTTGGTAATCTCAACTAGTAATAATTGGCTTTAAAAATACCACCTAGTGAGGAGTTCCGGAAAAATGGCGCTCTAGGCAGAAGCACCATGCCGTCCCTCTACAGCAAAGATCCGAAAAACTAAGCCGAACAGAGAATACAACAATCCTGAAACCCTAAAACATCAAACGAAGAGATAAAGAACTCAGCCAAGCACCAAATGGAGTGAGAAAAGTGACAGAGAACGGAGAGCGAGGAGAGATTCATGCAAAGGTCCCCTACCAGCTA